TCTGCCTACTTGTGATCTCTCTGTCAAATAAATAAATTTTAAAAATCTTAAAAAAAAAAAAATGTGTTCTGGGAAGCAAATTCTGGTTCCTATTATTTCCATTAACATAATGCAATGGTGCTTCATAATTACATTGTTCACTATCCCTATTTCTTCCATACCCATTACAAAAACACATAAAGCAAGGAGCACACAAAGTGGCACTGTGAAAATACACCCGACACACAGCTCAGTGAGGAAGCGAAGTGTCAGGTTATTACATTACTTATGTAACACTTGTGCCCGTATTTTTAGAACAGACAGGTATGCCTCATTAAGCAAACCTAAAGTGAAAAACCTATCTTTTGAGAATTTAATGACTGATTGATCACTTTACATACAGGATTCATAAGAGCCAAGTTCCTCATACTCTGAAGTATCATTTGAATGTCAGAAGTCCAACTTACAGATTTTCCATAAGAATACTATTTACTTTAGAAGAAATATCAACAAATCTGTGATCAACAAAGTTCCCAATATGATAATCAATGGGATCCAAAGAGAAACAGGCTAAAAATACTGATTTACTGAGAAGCAGGAGATGGCTTCATTTCAAGATCAGTTTAACATAGGACATTTAAGTAACTTAAAAAGGCTAAAAATAAACAGTATTTAAAACTAGGCATCATTCCTTTGTAAGTTTCTAAGCTCAATTTTTAATTAACTAAAATGAAATAGAAATGTTTTCCTTTTATTAACTTGTTGGTCCCTGAGCCGTTATGGGCCCATAGGAACTGTTCAGAGTAAGCACTCAGGCATATGCAGGTTAGCATCCCCTGCCCCCTGCCCCTCTCAGAACCAACAGAATGGGGGCGCCTGGGTGGCTCAGTGGGTTAAGCCTCTGCCTTCGGCTCAGGTCATAATCTCATGATCTCACGGTCCTGGGATCGAGCCCCACATCGGGCTCTCTGCTCAGTGGGGAGCCTGCTTCCCCCTCTTCCTCTGCCTGCCTCTCTGCCTACTTGTGATCTCTGTCAATAAATAAATAAATCTAAAAAACAAAACAAAACAAAACAAAAAAAGCAAACAAACAGAATGTAATGAATACCGTAACAACCAGTTCTTTCTTTACTCACTAAGCATCAAGACTTGAAAAATGTTTTGGCTGTCTGCTACCTAACCATCAAATACTTCAACAGTAACAGAGAAAAAGGCCTTTGAGTCTCTGGAAGGAACAGAATTAACAGGCAATGGAACACAGTCTTTTGAGGATCTACTAAGGCTCTTCCATTATCCTGCTCCTATTTGTTGTTTTGCAAACACAGCAGCTTTTCCTTATACATAATTCAATTCAGGTACTATTAAGTCATATACTTTTACATCTCTGTTAAATACACTGGTTCTCTAACACCTCCATTAGTTAAAATACCAAAGAATTAAATTTCAATCTACCATTTCCTTTGAATTCCTCTACAAAACACCAGTGCTGTGCTCTTTTAAAAGTCCTTATTATCATGGAAACTAATGAAAACAGAGGCTGTTTCCCAAAACAGGTTTACAATGCCAGCTGAGGAACACAAAGATACTATAACCAGACTGCATCTGAGGGCCCAGACACACTAAAAAACACCCTTCAAAATTAATACCTATCTTTCTTATCTCAGGACAATGCTTAGAAACAACGCAAAGAAGTGCTCCTTTATAGGGTTAATTTACAGTAGATTTTACCAAGACAAAAACCTCACTCTTCTCATAACTTAATTTTAATACTGTCAGACTCAGGCACTGACCCTAATTTCAACTTCCTCACTCAAGAGCTAAAATTTTTAATGACTATAGTGAAACATAAAAGAACAAAAACTTAAACCTCACAGCATCAAAAATGACACCAACTAAAACCAATTTATTTATTAAATCAGTAACCCAATATGTTAAAAACCTATTTTTCTGATTTTTTAAAACTTTAATTTTAGGGTAGCATAGACAGCTCAGTTGGTCAAGTGTCCCACTCTTGGTTTTGGCTCACGTCATGATCTCATGGGTCGTGGAGCCGGCCTGAAGATTCTCTCCCTCTGCCCCTCCCCAACATGCTCTCTAAAATAAATAAATCTTTAAAAGAAAACAAAACAATACTTTAATTTTCAACAGGTATAGGCCAAATCTCTTGGAATTTAACTTTATGGGAAGAACCCAAACCTTTATTCTAAGATTTTGTTTTAACAAACTGCTTGATAGGAGTGGCTTAGGCTCATACAGGGATTTCACTGCAAAGGTATCTGCTGTATGCGATGATATCTAATATATAGGAAAATGCATCTTTCCCCTAAAGACACAATACAATATAAAAGAATACCATATTTTACAATTAGGATGCCAACTTTGTTTCTAATTGGATACTCAAAATAGTTTATCCTATTAAGTTGTTTAAATGCTTTCAGCAAAATGGTACAAATACTAACAAACTCCTTTCTTATCTATATAAAACAAAGATAAAACAAGTCTCCATTAATGAGCTCATTCATAGAATAAATCTAACAGGCTAAAAAAGTTCATTTTTGTAATTATGAAATAGATACAACCAACTAATTTTATACCAGGCTATACTGGGCATTGGAAAGAACATTAACAATATTATATAGACTTAATTTTTATTCCTAAGGTTTTTATAACTAAAGAAACAAGACTAAGATAAATGTAATAATTGATAAATACTAATAAGGATATCACATGCTGGATGGTATACTATAGATAACTTTTTCAAACTATATCTCCCTCTTGGAGGTGGTTTTAGGCTGCCTCTAAATAAGGAAGAAGCAAAAGAGCAATTACATTATTTATTTACTTTATATGAGGGTTTAAGGTAAGAAAACAAAACTTAAAATCATTTGGAAAAAAATACCTACGACAATCGTTGTTCAAGTAAGAAAGTTAAACTACATTTGTATATTGTTCAAAAGTTAATAAAATGTAGGGGTGCCTGGGTGGCTCAGTCTTTAAGTATCTGCCTTTGGCCCAGGTCATGATCCCAGGATCCCGGGATGGAGCCCTGCATCAGGCTCTCTGCTAGGCGGGAAGCCTGCTTCTCCCTCTCCCATTCTGCTTGTGTTCCCTCTCTCGCTGTGTCTCTGTCAAATAAATAAAATCTTTAAAAAAAAAAAAAAAAGTTAATAAAATGTAAATGTAGATTTGAAAGCATTCACAATCTAAACAGAACATTAAAAATGAAGGATGGCTTGAGGTACCTAGCTGGCTCAGTCAGTAGACTGCGACTCCTGATCTCAGGGTTCTGAGCTGGTCTGAGCTGGAGTGTCATGTTGGTATGGAGATTACTTAAAAATAAGAAAATCTTTTTTTTTTTTATAAAGATTGTATTTATTCATTTGACAGAGAGAGAGAGAGTGCACAAGGAAGGTGAGCAGCAGGCAGAGAGGGACAGGGACAAGCAGGCTCCCCACTGAGGGGACCTAAGCTGAATGCAGATGCTTAACCAATTGAACCACCCAGGCACTCCATTAATAAATTATCTTTAAAAAAAAAAAAAAATACTATTCACTCGTATTCTGTATTTCATGACATTTGCTCCTAGAACAAACTTAGATGGCTCATAGTCCAATTCCAACTCTACAGTAATTATGGAACATGGAATAATTTATAGTTTTTTTTTAAAAGAGACACAAAATAATAATATATAGCTGATTTAGGTATCATGAAAAATAAAGATGCTTACAGTCCTCCTTAATACTGCTAAATATTAAGAAATAGAATATTAACTGTCATAATGCTTGAAGGCAGTTCAGGGAACAAAGACCAATGAATGTAAACTCTATTTTATATACAGAGACTACACTGGAATTACTTCTGATATAAATCTAAAAAGTTAACTGGTAATGTCTTTATTCACAAACTATTCTTTTGGCTACCTGAAAAGACACCAGAAAGAAAAGACCCTGCTGTAAATTTATATTTTGGCACACAGTTTTTACCATTCAAAGGATCAGAATTGGTGGGGCGCCTAGGTGGCACAGGGGGTTAAGAGACCAACTCTTGGTTTTGGCTCAGGTCATAATCTCAGGGCTGTGACATCAAGCCCTGCATCAGGCTCCACACTAGCATGGGAGTCTACTTGGGGCTCTCCCTCTCTATACCTCCCCCGACCTCCGAGCCTCGCTGCGTGCACTCTCTAAAATAAACAAATCTTTAAAAAAAGGGGGGGGGGTTAGAGTTATCTAACATAGAGGTATATAAAAAAAACCTCTATGAAGGCACAGATGGAGCAGCAGAAATTGCTTTGTTCAATGACAGACCAATGTGCTCGACCTTTTATCTGATTCTACACCCTTCCCTTGTGTGACCCACTCCCATCAATAAATATCTCAGCAGGGGCGCCTGGGTGGCTCAGTGGGTTAAAGCCTCTGTCTTCGGCTTAAAGCCTCTGTCTTCGGCTCAGGTCATGATCCCAGGGTCCTGGGACTGAGCCCCACATCAGACTCTCTGCTCAGAAGGGAGCCTGCTTCCTCCTGCCTGCCTCTCTGCCTGCCGACTTGTGATCTCTACCTGTCAAATAAATAAATAAAATCTAAAAAAAAAAAAAATTCTTTTTAATAATAAATAAATAAATAAATAAATAAATCTCTCAGCAAAAACTAAGTACCCTTTACGTGGTGGGGGTAGGGCCAAGGAGGGAGGACAAGCGCTATTCAGAATTACTGACCTAAAACAAAACAGAATAAAGCAAATGTTTCTCTTTCATAACTTCAACCCAAGCACCTAAAATGGTGTGTTGCTGGTTGCATGGTTTTAGCAACCAGTTCCAAGAACTCCACATTCCTTTACAGAGTGTTTGGACATCTACTAGTCACATGGTTCTCCTTGCTTATGACTACAGTAAAATGCAAATGGCTAGCCAAAGAAAATAATTATAGCTAAACTTTAAAAAGAATCAACTACTCTTCCCCATCATACCATAGACAGAATAATTTACAAACTGGAAAGATTTCAGCAAACAGCTGAAGAACACTTACTTCTGTTCCAATGCCAGGTTGTACACCAGAGTACACACTGTCTGGTGGAGGACCACCATACTTCCTCTGTCCTGTGGTTACATCCAGAGTATAGCCAGTCCTTTCAAGCAACGCCTAAAGACAATTATACATCTGTTTATACTTGAATATTATATCACACATCAGTATATTAATCTTTTCCAAAGGATATCCCAACATCGTAGGCCATGTAGCTTAGATAAAATAATGTCAGAACTCATACTGGTATCACTCGCACATGTTGTTCCCCTTCATTTTACTCCTTTCCATACACTGAATGGAAAGAATTGTACACCAATTAAATCTCTAAGCACACGATGATTTTTTGATATGAAGGAACAGAAAAATGGGGCAAGGATTATTACAAACGTGACATAAGCCGACCCCAGGATACCTATCCATACTTCCGTATTGCAGCAGTCCTCATTTTGCATTTTCCTCTACTTCAGTGAGAGCTTTTCTTAACTTGTTCCCCTTACATACCATCTACCTACCTGTGATTCCTTTAAAAAAAAAAATGTTCTCTCATCAGAAGTCCTACCTTCTTCATGCAGCTTCTCTCATTCTCTATTCCTCACATCTTCCTACTGTGAATTTCGATTACAGTCAAGTAATTTAACCTTTATTTTGTTTAATCCTTTTGTATTTCTGCTCTATCATAAGCTCTATGAGAACCAGACCATTTCTCATACAACACAAACTCAAAATATTTGGCAATTACCAAATGAGTATTCTCAGGTTTCAAAAAACAAAACCTTATGTTTCCTGATTACCAACCTTCTTCACAACATTAGGTACTAAAGAGGGATTATAGAAAAGAAGGTAATGCTCTTGCCCTTAAGGGTCTGTATTTATATGAGAGGCAACAGCTCAGACAAAATGGAAAAAAAGAAATGTCATCTACCTAAAAATGGGAGATTTTTACACTTCATGCTTTAAAAGTTAGATGGCTCCCAACTTGCGATGATTCAACTTACGATTTTTCAACTTCCGGATGGTACGAAAGTGATGCATTCAGTAGAAACCACACTTCAAATTTTGATTTTTGATCTTTTCCAGTGCTAGCCATATGCAGGATGATACTCTTGTGATGCTGGGCTGAGGAAGGGAGGCTCAGCTCCCAGTCAACCACTCAATCACAAGAGTAAACAACCAATACACTTAACAACCATTCTGTATCCATAGCAACCACTGTTTTTCTCTGTCAGTACAGAACTCTTACAAATTACCCGAGATAGCCAACACTTCATTATAAAATGTGCTTTGTGTTAGAGATGACTTTACCCAACTATAGGCTAATGTAAGTTTTCTAAGCACATTTAAGGTAGCTAGGCTATGTTTGGCAGGTTAAGTGCCATTGGGTGTATTTTTGACTAAGGATAGTTTCATCCATGTCCAGATAAACCCATCCTAAGCTGATGAAGATCTATACACAATATCAAAGCAACAAGAAAGTCCAGACATCAAGTTTAGTGGCTTTCAAAAGTATGGTAGGAGGACCCCCGGGATTCCGGAGTTACTTTAGGGTCTCTATTTTTCTACCTTTGACTAAAAAGAGCTGCTCTAATTTTAAGCACAGAAACACATGTAACACAATATACACACGATATACGTTTTTATACATTTAAACTTTACTTGTCTCATATGTAATATACACATATCATATGTGCAATATATACCTTACCAAAAGCAAATACTCACTTTTGGGGAAATAACATAGGCCTATTCAATACACACCAATATTTAAAAAACAAAAAAAACAAAAAAAACCACAACTATTTTGTCAAATGGAATTTTCACGTGTTTATTTTTAAAATATTTAAGAATAGGTTATGCCATTTTACAGATGAGGGAAAAAGGTACAAAGGAGCTCTATGTAAACTATTCCGTGTCAGAAACTACAAGTTCTATTTTTTGTCTAAAACAAAACCACACAAACAACTTCATTAAGTAAAATAACTACTTCAATTTGAAAAATCTATCACTGTGGCAAAACATCAACAGCCCCTTAACTAAGGAATGAGGTTCACTGGTCCTTCACCAAAAGCCCTGTATTTATCTCGCAGAGCAGTTATCTAAACGATAACAGTAACTGGTGCTAGTTACACAGTTCTTGCTACATTCCAGGCATTATTCTAAGCACCTGACATGTCTTAATTCCTTTAATCCTCACAACTCTATGGTAATATGCCCAGTTTACAAATAATTAAACTGAGGTAAATAAAAATTCAGGAGTAAAGCAGTTAAAAATACCTCTTTAAAAAAAAAAAAAAGAAAGAGAGAGAGAGAGAGAGAGAGAGAGAGAGAGAAACAAAGTGCTCAGAAAGAAACCAAACCAAAAGACATGACTGAGTCAACCTCAAAAGCTATTAGCGGAAGCATCAATAAAAACATAACCTTCAGAGCCAGAACAATGAGGCAAGGGTCTGAATTAAGGTTTTTTCCCACCAAACATACAACTGAATGTTTGCCCTCCGAATTCTTCTTGTGTAATTTTCCTTCAATTATCTCATTTCTAAAACACTAGCTTAAAAAAAATGTGGAACAATGAAAACTGTTTCTAGGAAACATGAAAAGAAACATTCAATCTCATCATTCAACTTATTACCACTGCAACGACCCAAGTCCAGTTTTACCTTTATCTTCGCTTCATCCGGCCCCTTTGTGGACTCTTGCACCTTGCTCCCCTGTTTCTCCCTTTGCCTGTAGGTCTTCATAACTCCACATAAAAATGCACTTTTGTTCTAGAATAGACAAGTAATTCAATGCAAAAGAATCAGCAGGAATCATCGAAGGGTCAAATACATAGTTAATTTACAGTTTCAAAAGACCAGAATTTTAACCAAATATTTACTCATTTATTTGCTCAACAAATATTTGCTGAGTGGTTACTGTGTGCCAGAGACTGGAGTAGACAGCAGTAAGACAGCCAAGACCTCAGGGTGCTTACCTTCCACACTGGCAAGTCTTCCATTTGTTGATATTCAAACGCACGTGGACTATCTTTGCCAAACATTCCAAAACTATTCCTCCTACCTACATTATTTTCCTCCAAGATAATAAAACAGGGTCAGATAAACCCAAAACTGTTTAAAATCGGAGTATTCTAAACCCATAAAAGCTTAGTAATAACTGTCAGCAAATCCTGACTTTGATTTTAAGTTTTTAAAGTAACTTACTGGAAAGAAGTGGGGAGAGATTTTACTTTCTGAGAACTCTCCTGTGAAAGGTTTTTTTTTTTTTTTTTTTAATATAAGCAGAGGTAGTCACAAACAAAAAAGTATCAATTCTTTTCAGGAAAAAAAGTAATGGTAAAGTAATTTCACGTCATTAGTTATTCAAAGGCATTTCTAGTAAGTGGCCTTACCTGAACATGTGATAAGTCACTCTCCTTGAACTGCTGTAGTACAGACAGAGCTCCTTCTTCATTAAATTCCCTGAGAGCATCAATTGCTCTTTCATCAAGATCGACATAAGCTACCAATCCTACAAATTAAATTGAAAAGGGGTAATGTTATTGCAACAAAAGGGATAACCTAAACCGTGCTATCAATGTTTAATCAAGAATTATATTCAGTACTATTACTAACAAACTACATTCTCATTTAATATGCATATAGGCAGCTATACAAATACTATACAAAAAGGTCAAGAGTACAAATATGAAAATAGAAGATAAAATGTCAAACATGAATTTCAATTCCTATAAACACGAATTTCAATCCCCACATCCCACAGAAACCCCACAAAAATCCTAGCCCCATTTCCCCTCCCCTTCTTAAGGCTTGGAAGATAAATCTGATGTACACAGTGTACTACAGATTAAGTATTAATACAACAAATTCTGATTTATGTTAGAGTGGTAAGCATACACTGTATTCCCCAAGGATCAAGCTTCAAATTATATGGACTGTTGTAGTTGTTGCTAACCACACAAGAGGTGGGAGAAAAAAAAGAGAAATCATTTTTACTAAATAATTCTTTCCACTCTCCAAAAGGTATCAAAGGCTTTTCCTCCTTAGCACCAAAGAGAAAATGAAATGCACTTGTTTATCTGAGCGTCTACTTTGCTGCAGTCAGAATGTGGAAAGGCATAATTTTAAACTCTTCTACAAATGCAAGTGCAGCTTGATTAATCAATTCTGAAAGTCGTATTTTAAGGCATTTTTTTGTTCTTCTGATGTGTCAAGCTGAGGTTTAAAAGATGCTGTGGCATTCACAACACTGTCAATAATGACTGTTTTTCTCAAATGGCATTAAGGACTTTACTATGGACTTACAAGTAAACTATACAGAAAATATTTGCACTGTATTCTATACATGTAGTATATTAACTGCACACAGAACATCTACTCAGTCTGAAATGTAATTTCTTAAGTCTGTTAAGTTTGTGTTGTATTTCTCTCTATAAGGAATGTATTTCAGAATTGATCCAACGTAAAATGGATATATTTGGCAGATTAAAACTCCAAGTCCCTATGAACATCAAAAGTGACTCCATTTTGATCAAGTGAAAAAGAACTTTATTCCATACAGTAAATATATTTTAAATAAATGTAATGCCATTTGTAAAGTTACTTTAAGAAAATGTTGCCATGAGTTGTTTTAAAAGCTCAAAGTGAGCGTGCCTAATTATTGGAGTTTCCTTACTTCAAAATTCCATACCACCACCCAAAGCCACAACTCAGAGGACACCCATCGATCCATTCTGTCAATCCAACCCTACACCCGAACCATCAGCCTCTTGTCAATAACAAAGCACTCTGCAAGAGAGCACCTCTGAGCAAATCACTGCCTATTCTCTGTGGCAGAATGTCACAGAAAGTTCCTGAGGACTGATTTTCAAATGGAACCATCACCCAGGAGTCATTTTTCGGAAGTCATTTTAACGTCTAAAATTATCCTAAGCTTCTCAGATTTGAAAAAAAAAAATTTAAGGACAAAAAAACAGATATTTGTTACTACAGTACTTAAGACACATTTGTGAGACCATTCAATTCTCTCTCCCAGAATCTGGATAGGCACACAAAACACAGAGGAAGAAAGTTTCCATCTATGGCCCCAAAGGGGGAGGACACATTTATTAATGCACAACACTCCCTAAGGGTAAATATTTCTCTCCCTCTTTAAAAACTTCAAACCGCTTACAACCGACCATAGTAAGATATTCAAATTTGCTTAAGCACTTATCCATGGGACTTCTAGATTTTTTTAAAAAGCAGCTGTTACAAACCAACACTTCCAGATTACGGAGAGATGTGGATTTTCGTCTATTAGAAACGAGAGAGGCCACAAACTCTCACGGAGTCTGACATTTATTATCGTTTCAGACAATACTGTCTAACCAGTCCTCTTATTATGCCACCTAATCAGACCTAAGCTAATTTAACAATCACTTTAAGAAGCTAAAAGTAGAAAAGTAAAAGCAAAATGATGACTGATTTAGATTAAGAAAAAAATGTAACATTTGGTATGCTGAAACATACATTTTAATTGGTGGTAAATCGAAGACCAATTGATGTACTGTTCTGAAACAACTAAGACTGCATATTCAACACTAAGAAGGCTTCAAAATAATGAAATAAGAATATCAAAGTCAAACCCAATATGCCCTCAATGAAGGGAAAGTAACAAACATTCAGCTCTACATAGATCAGAAACAATATGTATTATTTAACCTTAAAAAAAAAATCTATAAAATTCAAAGTGGTTTGCCCTCACTTTCATAACCAGTCAGAAACAAGAAATGCATATTATACCTGTCTGAAATATTTCATCAAGTCTTTCTGCCACCTTCTGTGGGAGGCCTGCCTCTATCAGTGTCTTGTAGTGTTCTGTGTGAGTTACACTGGAAGTATCCATTGGTTCTTCCTCTTCTTTTAACTGTACCGCATTACCATTCACCTGATTAGCCATTTTATTATGCTGCTGGAAAAAATTCAGGAGCTATATTACATTAAGCCAGAAATAACTAGTTTGTAGGACAATGCATGATTTATCTAAACTAATTTGTATACATGCTGCTAATAAACTCTATCAAAATATTATTATATGCCTTTTGTGATGTATCTGACCTAAATTTGCAACAATAACCCTGTAAAACCATAGAAAATGTACATGGAAGCATTAGATCTTTAAGGAACTTCATGTACACGGGGTTAAAAAAAAAAAAAAAAAAAAGGCTTGAATTTACTGAAGGTAGAATTGCTGATTAACAAAAGCAGCTGTTGTGTCCTGACAAGCATATCAACAAATCACCACAAAATCCTAAAAAGCCCATCAGCTCTCAATTCTTACACAGTTTTTAAAAGTTTGATTTAGAAACAGAATGAACACCCATAGACCACTTAATCAAGGTTTAAGGACTTTCAAATTTTCCTAGTTCTGCTCCAAATCTAGGATAGGTGTGAGATCAATGCACTGCTGTTTCTAGTTCAACATGCTGGTGGTTTGGGTTTTCTCCGCCTCACTTAGAAAAAAAAAACAACAACAACACAACTTGACATTAATTTTAGTTCTAAAATTAATTTGCTATTCCCATTCACAGATTTAAAAGAAAAAATGACCAAGTTTAAAAGCTAAACGATTGTTTTAAGTCCACGTAAAATAAAAAGTGAGCTATAATTGAGGTTGCATCTTTAAAAAAAAAAAAATCATGAGTACATATTGAATTTTTCGTATCAGTAAAGCCGCAAAAACATATCGAAGAATGGACGGCTAACTTCTTCCAAACAGTTTCAACAAACATTACCTAATGAGGGTAAACTTAGGTCAGATGTCCCAGATTAACCTACCCAAATTATTTTGTATGTTCAACCTGTATATAGTACTGAAATGGACCAGCTCCCTGAAGAGAGAGATTAGATAATAAAACCATACAAGGCCAGTCTCTATACTGCCTCGAAAGACAGGGAATTAAAGTGCACTTGTCTGCGGTTAATGTGATGAAGATAATAAGCAGAATAAAGACATTGCAACAAATACTGAAATAGAGGACATGAAGATGAATCTCAAGAAGAAGCCTCCTTTTCTTGATGAACCTCAAGGTACCTAGTCAGCTACAAAGAAAATACAAGCTTCCTAAAAAGCACTAAACCCCGCAAGATAACCACACTTCCAGACGGCTGACAAACACTGTGCAGGTGCACCAGGTGCAGTTTTCTGACCTAAAACAACTTCTTTTCATTTCAAAGTCCACTGATATTTAGTTGAAGTGAATGAGAAAGGGAGAAAGACCAAGGGGAACGAGGTAATAGAGAGTAGGAAGGAAGGAAAATGCAGAAAGGATTATTCTGAAAATAAGATCAATATCATGACTTCTTAGGATTACAAAACATTAAGACTTGAGAGCCCACTAAGGTCTACACAGACGCAGATTCTCATTAAACTTTGGGTGGAGAAAGATTTCTCAAGGCAAGCCTCAAATTCTGATGAACTGACAAAAACGAACACATTCAAAACTGGCACACTTTTCATCAAGAAACTACTTACAGTGTAAGATGAATACGTTTACTGATTAATACAACCTATTTCTACAAAGATGCACCCTGAAGTCCAAAATCTCCTTGTGAACATATAGTTCTGTTTTCCCACGCTCCCGCACCCCCAAATACAACCATAAGATCATCAGAACTCAAAAGTTCTCAGTATCACAAGACCCTTAACAGTTATTGCACCTGTGAATACTATTAGTCACAGAAAGAAAGCAAATTTTTAACAGGAAAGTTCAATGAACATCTGCTAAGGTGATTTTTTTTTAAGTATGTGTAAAGCAAAAAAGACAAGTTGTGTATTAAGCACAAGATAGAAATATTTATGACTACCATTCCATTGCAAAGGTTCTCCTACAAGTTGATTCTGAAATTGGTTGATATTGTCAAAAAGTTTGTAAACTTTAACAAAAAAAAAAGTAAAATAATTAGATTCCAGGAAATAAAACCTTTCAGATCAAGGAAAACCTCTCTCTTCAAGCCAAATACAATGTGCTCATTTAAAAACCTCTTTTATGTCGTATGAGACCGTTTAAAACTTGTGTCAATTCAATACAATGCCACACAGCCAAACCATATTTCTGGATGCAGCAAATATACTGTGACTGGAGTCATTTGATCTAAGCATTTTTGCAAAAAGTAGACATTTAAATAAGATTTTAAAGGGCTGCTGGGAGATTTGGGAAGTCAGCACTAGCCCCTCCCTGACTTTTTCTGAACATCTCTGTGCAAATTCTTCATATTAAGAGACGGGCTTTAAAAGAACCAACGAAATGAAAACTAACGGTTATCTCATGGGTTAGGAGTGTCAAGCCCTTATCCTACGACTGACTCATGAGACATAAACTGAGTCTCTTGAGGACAGCAAAAATCTCAAACAGGTCAGCATGAGAGGACTGAAGCTTTCAAGAACCCCTTGGCCTTAAGTTTTACATTTTGGCAACACGATTGCTACCGTATAAGAAAAAGAATCGCCTTTCCAATTTAGTGCGCCTAAGACATTCTTAGAATTATGCATCTCAGGCGCCGCTTGAAGCCTAAGTTTCACGGCCTCTAGTAGTCATTTTTTCCTTCAAATCTCGGCTCGCAGCATGCAGAATGGGGGAGGGGAGGGAGGCTTCCTACACAAATCCGCCCTCGGGCTTCAGCTCCCACAAAAGTTTTCTCCCGGCTCAGGTAACCCGGGGTTTGCATCCCGCCCTCTGCCCACCCCCCCCCCTCAGGCCCGTCGCGATCAGCCACACCTCCCGCGCACGCCTAGGCCGGCCGAGACGGGCGCGAAACGGCTCCGGAGGACAGCAGCGAAGGGACCGCGGGCGTCTGAGGCCGCGGGCCGGGCCGGCCGCGTGGAACGGCGGGCGGAGGCGGGAAAAACACTGCAGTCCCCGGCAGGCCGCGCGGAGGGTGCCCGGCGGGCCGGACCGCCGGCCGGGGGCTGGAGGGGCGGGGAGAGGATGAGCGAGGGCGAGGAGGCGCCTCGGCCGGGCTAGGCCCTCCGCTGCGCGGCCGGACGAAGCCGAAGCCGCCCCCAGCCCATCCCCACCCCCACCCCGGGGCCTCGGAGCGAAAACGAAACTGGGGCCAAGGCGCCGAGCCCGGGCTGGGCCCCGTCGGGTCGGATCGGGGCTCCCGGCCCCTCCCCCCCACGGGCCGGCGCGAGACTCACCAGGGCAGAGCTGGGGCCGCCGGCCGGGCCCGTGAGAATCAGCGCGAGGCGCTTTGAAAACGACTAGAAATGGCGCGCGCGCCACCCCCTCCCCCCCCTCATGGACAGAGACGCGATCCCGGCAGCACGCGGGGTTTACCGGAACTGCTTCCAGGGACTCCGAGCGGCCGGGCAATCGTCTCGCGCGGCGGCCTGAGAGGCAGCTCAGGTGTCCAATAGTAGCGGAAAGAAGCGGCTCACGCTGGACGACTGGAGAGCCAATCGATGAAGCCGTCGGCTGAGCCAATGAGGGAAGTCAGCGCCGCCGGCTGGGGCGCCTCCGGGGCGGGGGTAGGAACACAAAGGGGTCCGTGGTGGAGCCCCGAGTAGAGAGGCGAGGCTGCGGGGCACCCGGCCTTGAGTGGGCGAGGCTCTTCGCTCCTCGTCCGCGGGCGATACGAGACCGAAAAGCTAGGCCTCGCGCCGCGTGGCCGCCTCCGGAACCCCGCCCCCTACTGTCCGCTCCGGCCCCGCTCCTTCGCGGCCCTCCCGCCCCTCCGCCGGCGCCGCGGCGTCCCTAACCTCCCTCCAGCCACTGCCGGCGCCGCCGCCGCCGCAGGCGTTCGCCCCCGACACGCCCACCGCCACGCGGTCGGGCCTCCTTCTGGGTCATCTTTTGGGCTCCGGTTGAAGCACAATTTAAGGCTGATTTGGCTGGCCGTCTGGCTGGAGAATTTCACGGACAAAAATCATCTCTTGGAGCGATCGGAAAACTGTCCCCGGACTCCCCGTTGCACATCGTTGGGGCAGCTCGGAACGTGAGAAATCGCTGAAGTTGGCACCATTCGAGAGCACTGTTAACAAATGCTAGAGCAGGGACCTTTTCTCACAGAGTTGCAGCTAATTGTTAGGAAGAAGTACGGCAGATACATGCATCTGCGAAGCCAAGGGAGCAGTGCAGGGAAATGGCTAAGTCCCAAGGAGGTGAATTCCTGTTATTCCTAAACCCATTTTTCAACGTAACGCCCTGATGGTTTGTTTTCTGTCCTTGACTTGGTGCAAACCTCTCTCCTCCCACAATCTTCCCAGCTCACTTCTGTAGAGCCAGCTGTTCCCCACCCCGACATCCAATGCCCTACCCCTCTTAGGGACTGGAGGAAGGTCAAGCAGTGGTCTATAGGATTTTCAGATATACTGGAGGATCATTTAAGCTTCCCAGAACCTATCAGCCCCAAATTAATTATTAAAAACATACTATGGAGGTGCCTGGACGGCGCCTCTGGTTAGGCACTTTGAGTTTGGCTCAGGTGGTGATCTAGGTGGTGGGATGGAGCCCTGCCTTGGGCTCTGCGCTCAGCAGGGAGTCTGCTTGAGATGCTGTCTCTTCCTCTCCCTCTGCCCCTCCTGTTCCTGCTCTCTCTGTCAAATAAATAAATCTTTTTTAAAAAAACCTACTGTGCGCTCAGTACTGAGCTAAATGGCTCAGTGGATCCAAGTTTTGTAATAAGGGTTGTGAAACTTACACAAATGCTGGGATCTTTTTTGGAAGTGATATAAAATGATAAATACAGGAGCGCCTGGATGGCTCAGTGGGTTAAGCCTCTGCCTTTGGCTCAGGTCATGATCCCAGGGTCCTGGGATCGAGCCCCGTGCCGGGCTCTCTGCTCCGCAGGGAGCCTGCCTCCACCTCTCTCTGCCTGCCTCTCTGCCTACTTGTGATTTCTGTCTGTCAAATAAATAAATAAAATCTTTTAAAAAAATGATAAATACAAATTCAGGAACAGAATCTTGGTAGGGCATGGTACAAATGAGAGACCTCAAGGCTTGAACTTTATTAGCCTCTAGCTCAAGAATTCTTTTTTTTTTTTTAAGATTTTATTTATTTGACAGAGGGAGACAAAGGGAGAAAGGGAACACAAGCAAGGGCAGTGGGAGAGGGAGAAACAGGCCTCCTGCAGAGCAGGGAGCCTAACCCAGGGCTTGATTCCAGGACCCCGGGATCATGACCTGAGCCAAAGGCAGACGCTTAACGACTGAGCCACCCAGGTGCCCCTAGCTCAAGAATTAACATTCTTAGTGCTATTTGGTAAGGGCTATGGATCTATTCTAGATTTTAAATAAAATACATAGCATTACAAAAGAAACATTATATTGAAATACAATTAGGAAATATGTGGGTGGGTGTTTATTTTTCGACAGAAAGAGAGAGAACAAGCAGGGGGACAGGAAGAGGGAGAAGGAGAAGCAGGTGCCCCAGGAGCAGGGAGCCCAACGTGGGGCTGAATACCACGACCTGTTGGTTATTGACCTGAGTCGAAGGCAGATGCTTAACAGGCTGAGCCACCCAGGCACCCCGGGAAATATATATATATATATATATATATATATATTTAAAAGATTTGATTTATTTGAGAGGAAGATTGCTAGAATGAATGGAGGGGTGGCAGAGGGATAAGCAGACTCCCTGTGGGGCTGGGAGCTGGAGGCAGGGCTTGATCCCAGGACGCTGGAATCATGACCTGAGCCTAAGGCAGATGTCTAATTGACTGAGCCACCCTGGCGCCCTAGGAAAAATATTTTAAGAGCAAATGTGTGATGTAAATATGTTTATCGGGTGCATGAGTGGCTCAGTCAGTTAAGTGTCTGCCTTCGGCTGGAGTCATGATCTTGGAGTCCCCGGATGGAGTCTGTGTGGGGCTCCCTGCTCCATGGGGAGTCTGCTTCTCCCTCTGCCCTTCACGCCACTCTTGTGCTCTCTCTCCCACTCTCTCTCTCTCTCTCAAATAAATAACATCTTTAAAGAAATAAATCTTTTTATTTATTAAGACATTAACTATCAAGCTCTTGCAGCAGGTCAAATAACTACAGAAATTTTAAAACGGTGATGAGAAGATATTCAAGAAGTCCATGATAACTATAATGTGATATGGGGGTGCCTGGGTGGTTGAGTCATTAAGCATCTGTCTTTGGCTGGGGTTATGATCCCAGGGTCACGGGATCGAGCCCTGCATCAGGCTACCTGCTCAGCAGGAAGCCTGCTTCTCCCTCTCCCACTTCTCCTGCTTGTATTCCCTCTCTCCCTTTCTCTCCATCAAATAAATAATAAAATCTTTTTAAAAGATTTTTAAATCTTTTTTTAAATTTTTTAAATTTAAAGGTTTTTAAATCTTTTAAAAAGATTTTATTATTTATTTGACAGCGAGAGACTGATATCACAAGTAGGCAGAGAGGCAGGCAGAGAGAGAGGGCGAAGCAGGCTCCCCGCTGAGCAGAGAGCCCCATGCGGGGCTTGATCCCAGGACCCTGAGATCATGACCTGGGCCGAAGGCAGAGGCTTAGACCACTGAGCCGCCCGGGCACCCCAATAATAAATAAAATCTTAAAAAGAAAACCCAAAACTCTAATGTGATATGAAAATGCCTTTGATATCTATTGGTGACAGAGTGAAAGTTACGGCTAATTCTACTGTGGTTTGTTGCCTGCATTCACAATGGGGGATAATGCTAAGTTTCAGTTTGACATTCATGAAAATAAAAATGTTATTTTGGGGGGGGCACCTTGGTGGCTCAATCAGTTAAGCCTCTGGCTTTAGCTCAGGTCATGATCTTGGCGTCCTGAGATGGAGCCCTGCCTCAGGCTCCCCGCTCAGCAGAGAGTCTGCTTCTCCCTCTCCCTCTCCCTCTGCCCCTCCCCCTGCTCATGCATGTGAGCACTCTTGCTGTCTCTCAAATAAATAAATAAAATCTTTTTTTAAAGTGTTATCTTTTTTCATCTAACTTGAAAGACCATGCACTTCCATCTGGAGACTCCTTTAAATCCACTGACCACAGGATAAAAACCCTTGGGCTGAATACCATAATTAAAGTGATTCCATCACCCAGTATTTTCTGGGATAACATTTCAAGTATTTTGGCCATATAGTCCTAAGAAATATACTCCACCTTTTCATACCATTTGTCATGATTTTTTTTTTATTTTGGAAAATATGGTCATTGGAGTTTTGCATCCCCCCACAAAATGTGTGTGTGTGTGTGTGTGTGTGTGTGTGTGTGTGTGCATTTGATATCCCACAAACATGTATTGTATACCCTCTGCAGACAAATCACTGTGTTAAAAGTAGGGAGTATAAAATGAATGGAACACAATCTCTGTCCTCTAAGAGCTTACATTCAAGCTAACAACACAGGCCAAATATATAAATAAACATTATAAAAGTGAGTTGTTAGGGAGCATTCTAGCTATATCCCTAATCTTTTGAGATTAGCACAGTGCAACCAGGCCATCTTACAACCCTTACCTGTCACAGACCAAACCTGGGGTCTGAGCAGATATGTTAATGAACATGCTTTTGCTTCTTAAAAACGATTACAGGACAGCAGAATACTCATATTGAAGCTTTGACTTTTACTACTTACAACTTGAAGTTAACAGAGAATTTTTTTAAGTTATCAACCCTTCTTACTGGATCCATAGGTCAATATTCATCATGCTTTTTCCCCTTTTATAGCATTGAGTCTCTCCTTCAGACTTCGAACACGATGACATCAATTCAAAGTGCCTTCTCTTACTACTAACAAGGACAAGCTATGCAGCCACAATCCAAAGGCACAGGCAGTGGGGAGGAAGAAAGAATATAGAAAGAAAGAAAGAGGAGAGAAAAATGGAAAATAAATGCCACATGTAGCATGTTGTGGAAAGGACATCACCAACCAACCCTTGTTAACATTAGGTGCCAAGAGTCCTCTACTCAGCTTTACCTGAAAACTTCAAACTTCACTTTCTTCATCAAACTTTAATTTTTTTTTATTATTCTAAGGTGCTTTCCAACACTGTAGTGCTCCAGTCAAACTGACCAGAGCTGAAGGCTGTTTCTCACTTACACTTCCTAGGATTATGCTTCTTTTAAAAAAGAATGTGCCAAGGGCGCCTGGGTGGGTCAGCTGGTTAAGCATCCAACTCTTGATTATGGCTCATGTCATGATGGAGCTCTACTCTCTCTAAAATAAATAAATATATCTTTAAAAGGGTGGGGGCACCTGGGTGGCTCAGTAGGTTAAGTGTCTGCCTTCAGGTCTGGTCATGATTCCAGGATGCTGGGATGAAGTCCGGCATCTGGCTCCCTG